TCTTGGGGCGATCTTGGAGGCCTCTTGAGCCGTTTAGGGGCGTCGGGGAACCGAAAAGGTTGAAACGCCCAAATCTGTCCAAAACCTATGGAAAAGCATTGTTTGTTTGCCTCTTGGGGCCCTCTTGGGAATGCACTTGGAGGCCTCTTGGGGCATCTTGGAGGCTTCTTGGGCCATCTTGGAGACGTCTTCGGCCGTCTGGAGGCCATCTTGGGCGTCGTGGAGCGATATTCGGGCGTCTCGGACCTCTCTTGGACCGTGTTGGGGGCGTTCTTGGGGCCCTCTTGGGCCGTCCTGGAGGCCTCTGGAGCCGTCTTGGAGCCGTCTTCTGGGCCGTCTTGGAGCCGCCCTCTTGGGGGGGGCCTCTTGGGCCCTCTTGGGGCGATCTTGGAGGCCTCTTGAGCCGTTTAGGGGCGTCGGGGAACCGAAAAGGTTAAAACGCCCAAATCTGTCCAAAACCAAAGGAATAGCACAGTTTTTCGCCTCTTGGGGCCCTCTTGGGAGTTCTCTTGGAGGCCTCTTGGGGCATCTTGGAGGCTTCTTGGGCCATCTTGGAGACGTCTTGGGCCGTCCGGAGGCCATCTTGGGCGTCGTGGAGCGATCTTCGGGCGTCTCGGACCTCTCTTGGACCGTGTTGGGGGCGTTCTTGGGGCCCTCTTGGGCCGTCTTGGAGGCCTCTGGGGCCGTCTTGGAGCCGTCTTGGGCCGTCTTGGGCCCTTTTGAGGGCCTCTTGGGCCCTCTTGGGGCGATCTTGGAGGCCTCTTGAGCCGTTTAGGGGCGTCGGGGAACCGAAAAGGTTAAAACGCCCAAATCTGTCCAACACCTAAGAGGCAGCATTGATTTTTGCCTCTTGGGGCCCTCTTGGGAGTGCTCCTGGAGGCCTCTTGGGGCATCTTGGAGGCGTGTTGGGTCATCTTGGAGACCTCTTGGGCCATCTGGAGGCCATCTTGGGCGCCGTGGAGCGATCTTCGGGCGTCTCGGACCTCTCTTGGATTGTGTTGGGGGCCTCTTGGGGCCCTCTTGGGGCGATCCTGGATCTGGGGGAGTGTCCAGGGCGTGTCCCGGGCGTGTCCCGGGCGTGTCCCGGGCTCCTCTCGGGGTACTTTTGATCCAAGGACCCCCAGGGGCCGCCCCGCGCGCGCGAACCAGAAATACTGTTTACCAGTTACCGGAGATCTCAGCATGCCTCTGGCCCGTTGGGCCGGCGAATTATGATTTGCCGGGCCTCCAGCCCCTCTGACATTCGAGGGGGGCGGAGGAGGAGCAGGAGCTGGAGCAGGAGCAGGAGGAGGAGGAGGAGGAGGAGGAGGAGGAGGAGGAGGAGGAGGAGGGAGAAGGAGGGAGGAGGGAGGAGAGAGGGTGGACCACGCCCCCAAGACGTGGGGCTTTTGACCCGGGCCGCTCTGTCACGTCGCCGCCCGATTTTGTTCACGACGCCAGAGGTCGAGGGGTCCTCCCCTCCCCTCTCCGCAACCAGGACGCGCGCAGGGCTCTCATGAGCCCCCCCAGGCAGGGGCACCGATAGGGGGGACTAGGCATAGGTTTAAGTCGGGCATGTCTCTCTACAGGAGGAAGATTCAAGAATATAAAAACAGTAGTCTGGCGAAGATGTTCCATGCCCTTTGTGCTACATGTGAATTGTTCTTTCATTCTCTTTCCAAAGTCCGCCTGTAGGAGGACATGCCCGACCTGAGCATAGGGGGGGGGTGCACCGAACACCAATCGCCCATTGGTCGCCAGTACGGGTCGGATAGCCCCACCCCGCCTGGGGCCCTGCGGATTCGCTCCCGGGGGCGTGCTTCCGATCTGTCGGCGATGCACCGCCGATGGCAGGTCGATGTCTCCCCTCCTATGGCTCTCCCCCCCTTTATGGTTGCCCCTCACCCAGGGTGAGGCCTCGGCCCGTGGGCGCAGATCCGCGCCCGGTGTCGTTCTGCTTTTGCACTCGTGGGCGAAGAGCGGCCTGCCAAAGACTGTTCCGCCGTCGGGGACGCTGTTCCCCCGGGCGGCTGCAGAGTTTGTACCTCTACGGTGCCACGTGGCGGTATAGCCTTTGCAGCCGCCCGGGGGCCAGGCGTCCCTGGCGGCGGAAAAGCGTATTTTGTACCGTACTGCGTCCCCTCGTTGCACCTTCCCCTTCTCGTGTAGGGGCGTTTTGTTATATTCCACAGCGGAGCCATCCCCAACAAAACAAACCCAGGGATGTACCCAGTGCATCTGTAACACATCAATTGCATTGCATTCGCCAAAGAAGCACGAACACTTGGAAAGGACGTTCTGTCCTTTCTATTGGGAACCTATGCGTTGGGCGTCTCGAGAACATGAGGCGATACCGGATGACTGAATTGCAGGCGTAAGTCGTCACTGCGCTGGACACCCCAGGAGCTCACGAAAGTGGTGACACTTGCGCAGTTGACAGCGTCTATGGCGGCCAGGTCCCGTGTGGATCCGCATACATCGTTTTTACGCCAAATCTCCCCAGGAGTTTTTTTGAGATTGCTGTCAGATGCGCAGTTGACGGCACCCAGGAAGGGCGGGGTATTCTTTGGACACCCGTGGGTTCGTTTTCCGCTGGACGCCCTGGGAGGAGCTCACGATAGCTGCCACGCAGCTGGCAATACCTAGGGAGGGCGAGGTCCTGGTTGGATCCGCGTAGGTGGACCCCCAAGGAGCTCAAGAAAGCGGTGGTGCATGCGCCGGTGGCTGCGCGTGGCTGCGCCCAGGGAAGGCGCGAGCTCCCGTTCGGATCCATGTAAGACCGCGCTCCGCTGGGCGTCCCGTGCGAGCTCACGATGGCGGCGACAGCTGCGCGGTTGGCAGGACCAGAGTCAAGGGAGGAGACGCCACCCCGACCTCGTTGATCAAGGGCGCCCTCGAGGGCGCGAAGTTATTCGCGCTTCGCGCTTCGCGGTTCGGCTCCGATTCCTCATCCTCCTCCTTTTCTCCTCTGGGAGGCGGCGCGAGAGCGCGAAGTTATTCGCACTTTGCGCTTCGCGCAGCGCGAAGCGCGAAGTTGGGAGCCCATGTTGATTGGGGTTTACTAGCCAGCCCTGGGCGTTTACTAACCAGCCGTGCCCTGTTCGATCCCTTCTTTGGGCGCGTTTGCGAAACAGCTCCGCTTGTCGGGGTGATTTGTTATGAAGGTGGAGTTGCTGCTCTCAACAGAGCAAGGCGAGGTCACTTTCGGATCCGTGTACCGTTGGACACCCCTCCTGGGAGCTCACGAAAGCGGCGACAGTTGCGCTACTGGCAGCACCTGTAGAGGGCGAGGTTCCATTTTGGATCCCCGTGGTACCGCACTCCGTTAAGGCTCCCACGAGCTCAATCAAGTGGAGACAGTTGCGCAGCTGGGATCAGTCGGGAGCACCCGAGGCAAGGTATGAGACATGAGGAGCAATAGGAGGAGGAGAAGCAGGAGGAGGAAGAGGAGGAGTGGGAGGAGTAGGAGGAGAATGATGAGGAGGGATGCTGATGGTGACGATGATGACGATGATGATGATGCTAATGATGCTGATGCTGATGCTGATGATGATGTCGATGATGTTCTTGAGGATGATGCTGATGAGGTTGATGTTGATGTTGATGTTGATGATGATGATGATGATGATGATGCTGATTCTGATGATGATACTCATGCTGATGCTGATGTTGATGCTGATGATGCTGATGCTGATGCTGTTGATGATGCCGATGTTGATGATTCTGACGATGATAATACGGATGCTGATGCTGCTGATGATGATGTTGCTGATGCTGATGATGCTGATTGTGCGGCCCATGATGTTGATACTCATGTTGTTGATGATGCGATTGTTGATGATGATGGCGATGACGATTACGATGATGATGATGATGATGATGATGATGATGATGATGATGATGATGATGATGATGATGATGATGATGATGATGATGATGATGATGATGATGATGATAACTTGATGGTGGTGATGATGATGAGCAGATGATGATGATGCTGATGATGACTCCGATGATGCTGATGATGCTGATGATGATGCTGCTGATGATGCTGATGATGATGCTGATGCTGATGCTGCTGCTGCTGCTGATGATGATGATGATGATGATGATGATGCTGATTATGATGATGCTGATGATGATGCGGAGGAGGATTACCACTGCAAACATAAGACGCAGCAACGATGTAGCAGAGTTGATTGAAGTGGCTTACGCTATTCCGCTGATTTCCAGAATGAGTGAGATCCTGTCACGATCGTGGAAGCTATCTTGTTTTATGCGTAAGACGGTCTCTCCGATTGCCAGTCGGGGGAGTTTTGAAGAGCTAATATTGTGGCCGCTTGGGTGCCTCATGGGGGTCTCGTGAAGGCCTCTTAGGGGCCTTTCCTGAGCGCATTGGAGGCATCTGGGGCGCTTTCTTGTCATCTTTGAGGGAAATGCTCGAAACGTCAGTTCGGCCCCTCTCCGCCCACTCTTGGGCGACCTCTTGGGCCGTTCTGGGGGCCCCACAAGCTGTCTGGGGACCCTCTTAGGCCGTCTCGGGGCCTTGTTGGGGGTCTCATGGGCCGTCTTGGGACGATGTTGGGGGCCCCTTGGGCCGTTGCGGACGTTGTGAAGTTGGAAAAGGCGAGTATGGCAACTGTACGCTTTCCGTGAGGAATTGGGCGATCTTTGCTTGGTGGGGCCTTCTGCGGTCCTGCTGGAGCAATCTTGGCCGTCTTTGGCGCCTCATGCGCCGTCTTGACGCTCTCTTGGACTGCCCTGGCGCTCTGTTTTCTGGGGCCGCCTTGGGGCTCTTTGGAGGCCCCGGAGGCCCCAGCGGTGCGTTCCTAAGCGCTCGGGATCGCTCCGAGGAGGCCGCGGCGCCCGAGACGTTCTCCGGAGCCGCGGGATCTCAGAGATTCTCGATGTATCACCCGAACGTATCCTCGTCCTGGCTTCGTCTCCCCTCCTCCTCCTCCTCCTCCTCCTCCTCCTCCTCCTCCTCCTCCTCCGTCTCGTCTGGTCCTCCTCATGACCAGGAGGATCCCCGAGATGACCGTCAGGGTCTACCGGGTGCGGCGGATGTGTCGCGACGCCCTCATCGGGCAGGCGGCCCTGCCCATCACGACCACGGAGCTCGCAGGCGGTGGCTCGGCGGCGAGGAGCGGGGCTCGAGGATCGAGAGTGGTTTGTGCTCTCTGGGCCACAGGGCGCGTTGTGCACCCCCCCCATAACGTAACGTCCCCCCTTTTATAACATCCTCCCCTGTTACGTGACGTAACGTAATTTAATGCCCCCCTCCCCTCCCTTAACGTACAGCGCCGGTTTTAATACATGCTCCGCGTGCGGACCATGTATCAAACATAATAAAGGGTTGATTCAAAATACAAGGATGAGTTTACGCATTAATTTATTCATGAATTAATCATGTATTAAAATTTGTTATATATATATGTTTATTTTTATATATATATATATATATATTGAACTCCTATGTTTTAAAACCTGCCCTGTAACGTTCACCCCCTCAGTGCGTCCCCAGCACTGCCGCAGTGCGTCCGGGGCACCACAGTCTTGGGGGGGGGGAGGGGGCGTTGCGTTATGCCCCCCTCCGTCCCCCCACAACGCCCGTTATGCCCGTTATAGCCGCGAGGAAAACGAATGCGCTACTCGAGGTTCGAGGATTGGGGCTCGAAGATCGGAGTCTTCGAGGACCGAGGCTGGAAGAAGTCACACTTTACATGCGACTCTCTGCTTTCGGTCTCCCTCCAGAGGCTCGCTCCATGTCCCTGGGCCGCCAGAAGTGTACCCAGTCGGGGCTCAAGAGACGTGGGCCAATGCAAACGGGGGTCAGTCAGAGCGCCGGATCAATCAGGATCCTGCAGAGTCAGGGTTGCGTTGACCTGGGGTTGGGTGCAGGATCCTGCAGGATCCTGCAAGGCCTGACTGAACCGGGTTTGGATTGACCTGGGTCAGACGGTCCCCGACAGAAATGGCCAGGGTGACCCCCACGAGGGTTCAGTGGACGGATTCAGAGCAGATTTTGACCGACCGTCGTCGTCGTCGTCGTCGTCGTCGTCGTCGTCGTCGTCCCTTCAACTATGGGCGTCGAATCCAGAAATATCGCGGCGGCAGTATCTTGCTGTTCGGGGAGCTTCGGGCTCTTTGGACTGTTTGCGAGCCCCAGCGCCGGCACAGATACGAGCTCAGGACGAGACGTTCTCGCCCCAGGAGGCGGGGGTGAAGATCCCCGGGGGGCCTGGGATCGACTACGTGCAAGAGTAACTCATCGCCAGAGTGGCCCTCGGTGCTGGCCCACTGGGGTCCCCCGATGACGGAGCGCGATGCGATAGCAGCGTCGTGCGCGCTCGGGTTTGGCCTCCCCGCGGCCCCCGAACGTCGCGCCACCAAAGGGCCGCTCTTGCCCAGGGCCACCTCCTGCGTGTAGCCGACTGTAGGGGATGCCGTCCCGCGTCCACCGCCAGGTGTAAGTCGGGCCTATCCCCCTACAGGGGGATGTTCGACGAAAAATGAAAAATGCCAAAACAATTACCAAACAATAATACAAAAGTAGCCAGGGGACTATTTTTTGAGCATTTTGTTTTGTCTTTTTGGTGTCTGGTACATATATATATATATATATATATATATATTCGTCAACCCGAGACGCTCTCAGCCGTGAGTGCCCTCCCTTCCCTCTCCTCTCAGGAGGGGAAGAAACAAACATACACAATGAATCGTCGACTCCGAGGAAAATATGGGAAAATATGGGAATTGGGGGGAAGACAAAAACCAAGAAAATATAGGAAAATATGGGGAATCCTGTTATCTGTGTCTACTTATATGTGTGTCCCAGTGCCCCTTCATCCTCTGCGACCGCCCCGTCTCGGGCTTCGTCGGCGCCCCCGGCTGCTGCGAGCGCCCGCAGGGATTGCCTCTGTCGAGCTGCGACGAAGAAGTCGCCGACCGGGAACCTCGTCTCGCGCGTCGTCGTCGTCCCCTCCAGGAGCAGGGGGAAGAAGGGGGCCAGAGGAGGAGGAGGAGGAGGAGGAGGAGGAGGAGGAGGAGGAGGAGGAGGAGGAGGAGGAGGAGGAGGAGGGCGAGGCTGACGCAGCGGGCGTTTGCGCCCAGCGGCCTGCCTAAGGAGGAGGGCAAGCAGTGTAGTGGGGACGCGCGTCACGAAACCACATGTTTTTTCCCAGACCCCCTCGAGTCAAGAAGAGGTGACGACGGCAGGTTTTTCGCTACTTTCGGCGTCTGGGGGCCCTTGCTGGGCCTCGGGGCCGTCAACAAACGACTCGGGATGGAAAGCCGTTCCCGGGGAATGGGCCGCGACCCCTGGGGCTCGCGGTTATGAGCAAATCATGACGTCGGGGGTTTTGGGTTTGTCACCGGGTTTCTCCGATCCGCGCGCTGCGCGGTGACTTCCCGCGGGTTCCGCGGCCGTGGAGGAAGCTGGTGCGGTCAGGGTGCTTTGCGTTCCCTCCCTCGTGCACATTTCTAAGCCTTCTAGATGGGGTCCGAGTAGATGGGGTCGGAGGATCGCGCCGCATCGTCGATGCATCGACGATGCGGCTGGATGTGGAGACCGTGGTTCCCCACGCCGACGTCGCCGATGCGTCGCCGATACATCAGCGATGCATTGGCGATGCGCCGCGATTCTTCGACCCCATATACCAGAACCCCATCCAGAAGGCCTCTAATCTTGCGCACGGTTTTTCACGGCTGGGTTTCTTTCGAGGGTTTCTTGCGGCCGCGGTGCTAAGCAAAACAACGGCCGAGCCAAAGACGTCTTCGAGAGGGTTAGTAAGTGTGTTACATTCGCGTATGTGTTTTGTATACCTGGGCTGGCTCTCCAGTCGTGAGTGGGCCTCCCCCTGAGGCCTTGTCCTCTTTGATACGTGCACGTGCAATTCGCCAGGGTGCAGCCCGCCGTTGTATCGTTGTCCGGATCTTCTCTTCTGGAGCCGTCATCGTTGGCTTCGGGCACTTCGCCTTGTGAATCAACGGCCTCCGCTGACGATTCGGAGGTTGACGTGGTGGAGAGGGCCAGGGCGAATGCAGGCGTCAATGTCTGGGCACGTGCGCAGCTGTTGACCAGCAAGTGGGATGATGTTGCCCACGATGGCAAACAACGAAATACGATGGAGGTCGTCGAGGGTGGCGATCCTGGTGGCCACGATATTGTACGTTTGATTGATGACGCGAGCCATCTTGCCGAGGTTAGCGTGAGGCTTTCTGCTGAGGCTTATGCGACGGAGCATGTCGGAGCAAATGCAGCGTCAACGTCCGGGCACTTGCGCAGTTGGTCGCCAGGGAGTACAAAGTTACTTTTCCATGGCGGAGCATGTAACAGGGCGGCTCTTTCAAGCGCTGGCTGAAGTCTTGCGAGACGTTGGAGGTTGTAGCGGGCGCGACCTCGTCTGATTGGTCGAAGCTGAAGCCTTTCACGGCGACCCAAAAGAACAGTGGCCGACGTTGTTCAATTGTGTGACTTGTGCGGGCGTCGCTAAAATATCGAAGAGGGCTTCGCGATGTCCACTGAAATGCTTGATCCAGGTGCCAATGTCAGTCCTCACAGAGTGGTATGTCCCAGATGGTTTGGAATACAACGCGTGCAATCGAGTGTCTTACTGCACCGACAGTGCGGATAAAGGAAGGACAGCAGCGACCATGGCAACTCCTTGTGTTACGACGCAGCAAGGTTTTCTCCCTGCTTTCGAATTGGTGGCCGAGCCGAGGAGGTGCTCTACATTGGTGGATATCCGAGCCGCGTGAAGCACACTGTGTGCGACTGTCTTGGCAAGCGGTTTTGTTTTTGGGATAACAGGCAGTGCGGGCCCACGTGGTGCGATCCTCAGGGTTGCAGAGATGACTTGAGGCGTAGTCGCTGCCGCCGCATAACAACTGTGCTGTGCTGGTGATCTACCGGCAGTATACTTGGAGAGTCCTTAGTTGAAGTGGTAGTGATTACATGGGTGACATGTGCGACACATATACATATATAGGTGTCCGGGTCACATAAGGTTCATGTTTCTGGTCCCAACGGTGATGATCGTAATTCTCAGACCGTGTTCGTGGTAGAGTTAAATCAACATAGGTGTGCGGTACTCCACAGCTTTTATAATCAATACATTGCAGGTTCTTGTTTGGTGGTCAATGGCTTGGGCAAACTTGGAGGTGATTCAGTTTGTGCGATGCTTTAATAGATCTGTATATTTCTATGTATATATATATATGTAGGTTTGTTGTTTCTTGTTTGAACATGTTGTTAGATGGATCCCCCTGCAGCCCTCAGACTTTGAATGCCATGACTCTTGGATTCGTCTAGGTGTTCCAGCTTTGCTGGCGTTTGGTGAAAACTCACCATCGACATTCGAACCACGTGTATATGGTGCGTCTGCTCAAGCAATGCAAAGTCTCTTAACAGTGTTTCCACTTAGGGATTCTTACTTCTTTTCTCGGGAGCTGGGCCCGCGGGCACGTCATGTGGCTATGTTGTCACCGTTGCCGCCCCATCGTCGCCTCGTCGTCGCCCGTCGTCTGGGCCTGCGGGCTGGTCATGCGGCTATGTTGTGGCCGCCATCGCCCTGTTGCCGTTTCGTCGCCGCCCGTCGTCTGGGCCTGTGCGTCGGTCCGGCGGCTATGTTGTCGCCGTCGCCGATGCCGATGCCGTCGCCGTCGCCGCTTCGTCGCCGCCTGTCGCTTGGCCCTGAACCGGATGTCAGTCTGGTGGCTATGTTGCACAACATCGATTGCACCACGTAGGTTATACCACACCGGTCGCACCACCTATATGTGCTTAGCAACATCGATTGCGCATCGTAGATTGCACCACATACATTGCACATCGCAGAGTGCACCCAGTAGTTTTGTCATCACAGGTTGCACAGCACATATTGATCGTATATGTGCCACGTAGGTTGCACATCTTAGATTTCACCACGTAGATAGCACACCCTATATATACATATTGATTGCATAACAGGTCTATCATATCGTAGATTGCACCACCAAGATTACACCACACTTAGCGCAATATCCACATTCATACAATATGTGTGTACATATATGAACATTTTTGTACAGTGCACAAAATATGTGGTACATCGTATACCGCTCCATTGCATCACACAGAGTTCGCAACATGAATTGCACACCGTAGATCGCACCACGTATACTCTCTAGAAGGCAGGCAGGTTGGTACCCCCCTCACCCTTTGCAAGGAAAATATGAGCGCGCATTCGTTTAGCACAAATCATCAGCTGTCAAGACTCATTTGCAAGGCGCTGGACGACGTTCACACGCGCGCGTCTTCGCGCGCGCATGTCGGACTCCTTCAACACTTGCGGTTCCGTAAGGATTTTCAAATCGAATGTCCCGAAACAGGTCAAGGCATGGCTTCGCAATATGAAAGGTTGGTCAACCATTCAGCCTGCGCTCGCGCTCCTGCGTTCGCAACATTGTTCGTTAAGTTCGGCCACGCGGCCCTCTCGCGCCGCATGTCGAAATCGTTCGGGCACCCTTGCGCGCGTGCGTGGGGGGGCACGGACCGTTTCAAATCAGACCATGCGGGCCACTCTCGCGAGTCGGCCGCGCGCGCATGGGCCCGTTTCAAAACCTTCATCACCGAGCATCGGCGCCGTTACTGAGCTTGCCGTCGTCGTTCTCATCATCGTCACCAGCATCGCTACTACCATCATCGTGTCTACTGTTGTCGACGTTGCCATGATGCCGCGCCCGCCAAAGCCGTTGACTCTCACTGAAGTGCCCGCTGGGAATTTCCTAGCCGTCAGCGCCACCGCGGCCGCGCCGGCCGCGCCAAACTAGCTGGCCGCTTCGCGTTCGAGCATGCGCGGGCAAGCGAGGCCGTAGAGATGCTCCAGCCAACGCCAAGCACGCAACACAGTCGCCGCCGCATGGGTTTTGCAAACCAGGTTGCGGGTGGATGGGTGGGACGGTTACGCGAGCAATTGAATTGACAATTCATTGCGGGCAAGACTTTGTTGCATCACGTCTATTGTGCTTGTCGACATACATGGTTATTTACATTCGAATTGCACCACATAGATGGCGCGACACGTTTGCGCCACATAGATTGCCCCACATATATTTGAACATCGTATTTTATATACAACATAATTTGCAGCACACAGAGTGCACCGTCGCGACGTTCAGACTTTACCATACATGTATCGCAACATGAAGTGAACATCGCAACCTGCATCACCTAGATTGCACATCGTAGATTGCACCATGTATCTGCCACACGTAAATCGCACCGCATAGGCTGCCAGACACACCTTGCTTGGAGTCCACGCTGGCTAACTTGACGATGAAACCAATTCCGTTTTGGGAGGACAGCTGTTGGCAGACGCTTAAGAAAAACTCCTGGGCACGACGGGTCACCCTGGCTGTATCTTGCGGGCTCCCCTGCCCTCGACGTCATGATTTGTTCGTTCAGTTGGACCTTTGAACAAGGAACCCTGTTCGTGGGGATGGGGGACTCGCTGTTGCTTCATTGTTTCACAGTGTGTTTTAGGTTTTCTGTAGGTGTGTATTTTTTTGACACTCGAAGTGTACCTTCTGGAAAAAAAGGGGCCTCGTTCCTTATTCCGGGTTCCTTATGACAGCGCTTCGACTGTACGTTCTTCTGCCCTTCGCCATCCTCGTCGCCTTCGCAGCGCGCGGAGCGAGGTGGCGCCAGAGGGGCGGGTTGCTGAGAGAACCGGGGGGCGGGGTGGGCGGGGGGTCTTAGAAGACGTGGGCCTTGTCAGAAACCCTCTTGGCTTCCAAATATTGGGCATAGCGCGGACGTGTGCATTTTTCCCCGGCTACGACCATCGAGGAGCATCCTCCGATCATCTTACAGCCAGAAACAAACACGCGCGAAACCGAGGCGTGCACGTGGGATTGACGTCCGAGCGATGGCAAGAGAAAATGTTATCAGAGGCCTGCGGCTGCAGGCACTTCGAAGAAGGCCCCCGCCTTCTAAGAGACCCCCCCGGCCGTCTCAGTAGGCCGACCCCCTCCCCGCGCCACACCCGTGAGCACGCCGCCGGTACTCTGCGACGCCTCGGATTGAGCGCGCTAGCTGTTGTTGTTCTGCCGTTGCCGCTGGCCGCCTGTGTGGCTCACGTGGGCCTGCCCAGCTGCGTTGCAGAGCGCTGGGCCTGTCTCGGCACCAGCGCCCCGCATTGCCCCAGGCACTTCGAGGGAACACACCGTCGACCTGACCAATGGTTGCGGGAAGGTCGGGGCGCCCGCGCCCACTTGCAGAAGGAGGATCCTCCCTCCTCCTCCTCCGTCTCACTCCCCGTCCGCCTGCCTGCTTACAAGTTCAATCCACAACATGTTGGACCAATGGCACCCGAATCATCGCTGGTGTGAGTCGTTGCTATTGTTATTACCCTCCTCCGCGTCCTCCTCTTCCCACTCTCAGATCTGTCTGCCCCCACCCTACACACACGCACGCTCACACACACACACGCACACGCACACGCACACACAGCAACACGCACACGCAAACGCACACGCAC